GGTAGTAAGGTACCGACTCGTCAAAGGTGACGTCCTGAGAGGACAGAACACGGCGCGAGGTGGGGTGGTAAAACTACCAACCAGGCGCGTCACGGGGGAAGCCAAGGAAGACGCAGGGAATAGCACGGGGGGACAGCTTGTCCGCAGACACATCGCCAACCTTCCCCGTCCACCGCAAGGTGGGGGAGGTCTCTGGCAAGGAGACCCGGGGCTGAAGGTTGAGCTGATGCGCGGCGTACTGAACCGCAAACGGCCACACAAAATGGGGGGCAGCCGCATGCATCATGGACGTACGAGCGACGTCCATGACCATGCCAATGCTGGCGCTCAGCAATCCCATTTTGCTGTGGAGAGGCTGGAAGCGTGAAGGTCTGGCGGATGCCTCGTGCACGACAGAAGGCTCCGAGACGGGCAGAGGAAAACTCCCCGCCTCTGTCAGAGTGCAGACGCAGAACAGGAAAGTCCGAGCCGAAACTCTCCCTGAGCTGGAGACGAGCTGCGCGGATCCAGTCGATCAACACCTTAGTGACGTCATCCTTGCTGCGCAAGGGGAAGACCGTGGTTTAACGCGAGTAGTCGTCAACCACCAACAAGAAGTAACTCTCGTGCCTTTGTCCACGGACGCGGGCGGGGCCCCACACGTCCATGTGGAGAGTCTGCAGCTGAGCCTCTGTCGGAGGAAACTCGGAGGAGTGAGGGGCGGCGCGCTGTTGCCTCTCGACACAGGGGACGCAGGTAGGGCCAGGCCCCAAAGGTATGGGAGGGAGAGACCGGGGGAGACCAGAGACAAGGACACGGGAGGCCATGCCTCGGAGACGAGGCAGGGAGGGGTGACCAAGACGGTGGTGCCAAAGGAGAGTATGGTGGGACAGGAGACGACACGAACAGGGAGCAGACTCAGGACCAGACCTGGACGCTGCAGCAAACACCTGACTCAACACAGCTACCTGGCCAGACTCAGCAGCCGGAGGAGACTCAGTAGTAAGGGTGTACAGGCTCGACCCTGGCCGACAGGTGAATGTGGCCAAGTGTCGGCCTGTACGAGCACACGTGCAGTGGGTCACCCGCTGACTCGTAGGAGTGAACTGGTCAACCCCCATATCCTGTAGGTCCGCTCCACTCACCAAGTTTGTAGAGAACGAGGGGAGGTAGAGCCCTGACAGGGTGCCAGAGGGGGCTACCGGGCACGGTAAGACAGTGGAGAAGCTAGCAAGGACAGGACCCCCAGAGGGGCCACCGCCGCCGCCACCCCCGCCACCACTCTTACCACCACCCCCACCCCCTCCACTGCCACCACCACCACCTCCACCGCCCCCGCTAGCCCCTCCAGCTCCCTTGCCCCCCTTGCCCTTGCCGGTGCGGCGTCTCCCGCTAGGGGTAGACGCAACGCCGACCCCGTAGAAACCAACGAGGTCAGCACCAGCAGTAGAAGCAACAGAGGGCAAGAGGGGGGAGGGGGAACACCCCTCAAAGACGGGGGTGCGAGGGTCACCACGAGAGGCTCCTACAGCGTCTATGCTCTTCTCTACTGCTAGGAGGCGCTCCTCGAGGAGGTCAACGGTGAGTGTGGTCGGGCAAACTGAGAGGAAGTGGTCCTTGACTAAGCGAAGAGAGTCAGGGAGCTGGGTGACTATGTAGTAGAGGGTGATGAACATGGGGGGGGGAGTTCTTGGCGCAGAACTCAGTGGGAAGCGTAGCGCGGTAGAGAGTGTCACTAGTGCGAAGGTGCGTAATGAGGTCAGCGACTGTGGGAAAGGCAGCAAGGTCAGGGAAGAGGTACGGTAGCATGAGGCGGCTCAGTGCAGCAGTGGCAGGGGAAGAGTAGCGTGCAACTACAGCGTCGTACAAGGTCTGAGCACTCTTGTACTGGCTAAAGTGCGCACGCTCAGTGGTCGGTAAGTGGCGATGCACAGCAAGACGGGCAGCATCATTGCGTGTGGCCCACTGTGAGCGAACAGTGCTGTCAGCTGTGGCAGGCGGGGCAGGGGAGGCACCGGAGGTGAGGTCGAACAAGGAGAGGCCGTCTGCCCTTTCGCACTGTAGGAACAGCTGGAGGTCATCGACCCAGACCTCAAAGTCAACAGCATGACCCTCAGTATCAAAGGTAAGAACCTTGGGGGTAGCCATGACTGCAGTGGCCTAGCAAGGAGTGAGCTCACCAGTCGGAGTAAGTAGGGCACGGGCGCGCCGGTAGGACGAGGAGCGGCTCGACGGCAGGGCGGCTCGGCTGCTCAGCGGCTCGGCTGCTCAGCGGCTCGGCTACTGGGCGGCTCGGCGGCAGGGTGGCCGGCTGCTGGGCGGCTCGGCTGCTGGGCGGCTCGGCTGCTGGGCGGCTCGGCTGCTGGGCGGCTCGGCGGTTCGGCTGCTAGGCGGCTCGGCAGCTCGGCTGCTGGGCGGCTCGGCAGCGCGGCTGCTCGGGCGGCTCGGCGGCTCGGCTGTTGGGCGGCTCGGCGGCTCTGCTGCTGGGCTGCTGGGTAGGGGCGGCGTTGGGGCCGTTAGGGTCGGCGGCGGGGCTGCTTAGAGAGGGGAGCGGCGACGGGGCCGTGTAGTGGTGGCGACAGGACCGCTTAGAGGCCGCGAGAGGGCCGCTTAGGGGCGGCGACGGGGCCGCTTAGGGTGAGGGGCGGCGACGGGGCCGCTAGGGGGCGGCGACGGGGCCGCTAGGGGTGGCGACGGGGTCGCATATAGGCAGCGACGGGGCTGCGTAGGGTGAGAGGCGGCGACGGGGTCGATAGGGGCGGCGACGTGGCCGCTAGGGGCGGCGACGGGGCCGCGTAGGGGCGGCGACGGGGCCGCGTAGGGTGAGAGGCGACGACGGGGCCGCTAGGGGCGGCGACGCGGCCGCTAAGGGCGGCGACGGGGCCGCGGAGGGGCGGCGACGGGGCCGCGTAGGGGCGGCGACGGGGCCGCGTAGGGTGAGAGGCAGCGACGGGGTCGCTAGGGGCGGCGACGGGGCCGCTAAGGGCGGCGACGGGGCCGTGCAAGGGCGGTAACGGGGCCGCTAGGGGCGGCGACGAGGCCGCTAGGGGCCACTAGGGGCCTGGAAAGGGCGGCAAAAAGGTGCGCCTCGGGCAGGAGTGACTGGCGCTCCGGTCAGAAAGGAAGTTTTCAGTGGTGGGCCCAAGGAAGCGTTCCCACTAGGGAACGTGCTCTGATACCATGTGAAGAATGAGGAATGAATGAACTAGCACAAAGTTGGGTACAAGTAGGAAACCCTAGGAAGCTGTACCCTATAGTGTCTACCCCACTATAGCCTACACAAGCTATATAATATGTGTTTGACAAATAACTGTCTCGTCGCTTGGTCTTTCATCCTCGCTGCAGTCATCTTCGCGTGAAGGATTTGTTACCCAAGAATGTTTATTCAACTATTCCATATCGTAACACTCCCCTTCATTCCTGAAAGAGCGAAGTCTTGACGCGCTTGGTTATGCCGTAGATGTTTCCGCAGTGATGATACTGTTGACATGACAATTTCTTGGTAAGGAAGTCAGCTGCCATATCACTAGTGGGGCAGTAAGTCAAGATGACTTTGCCTTCGTCAACTTCGTCTTTGACAAAGAAGTAGCGGAGTGCGATGTGCTTGGTGTGGTTGACGAAGCCAGGTTCGTGACAAAACATATTTCCGTTCATTTCACTCTAGGTTGTGTAGGGGTCATTCCTTAGAGGGTACAACCCATTTCTCTCGATAGTCTTGTACCCCTCCCCCTTACCCAATCGACATCAGTTCCTAGTTCTATTCTTAACATGATATCAGAGTAGGAACCGTTCCTAAGTGGGCCCACCGTTCCGCCTAGTGATAGCGCCACGCCCTACACAGTAGCTAGCGCACTGGCGCCCTCGCTCTTACTGTCACGACCCTTCCTAAACGGCCTGTGCGGCCATTTGTTTTTTCTCTCACAGTCGCGACCCCTCCTGACCGCGCCCTAGCTGCCCCGTGCGCCACTCGCGCGGCCCGTCAGCCCCTGCGCCCGGTCCCCCCCCTCGCTCCTGCTGCTGCGCGTTCCACTTGCGCTGCCCGCCAGCCCCTAGCGCGCACCTACTGCGCGCCTCCTTTTGAGCTGCCCCGTGCACACCTGTTGCGCGCCCCTGGTTTGCAAGCCTACAGCCCGCGCGCGCCTACTGCTTATGCGTGCCGGCTGGTGCTGCTACGTGCCGCTGCTGCTCCGCCACTGAGCACGAACCACGCTGCCCGTCCGAGCCGCGCCGCCCAGACCGAGCTGTCACTTCTGCTGCTACTACAACTACTGCTGCTACAGCTAGTGCTACTGCCGCTGCTGCCACTACTACTACTGCAACTACTGTTGCTACAGCTAGTGCTATTGCTGCTGCTGTCAGAATGTTATTGTATACATCACTTTATAACTGCCTGCAATGTAGACTTAGTGTAGTTATCTTGCTTGTTAGGTGGTGCACCTTGCTTCACTTCTTTCATATTTGTACCCTTGAGCCTATAGTGAAACCATCCTTTCTCCTTTGCAACTTTCTCGACACTCTCTTGAACCCTCAAACTAAAGCTACTAAGCTCCTAAGCTATGGCTCCTAAGCCCACCTACTCTTAGCCTATCTCAACAGCTGCTGCTACTACTGCTACTGCAACTACTGCTGCTATAGCTAGTGCTACAGCTGCTGCTGTTGCTACTGCTGCCACTGCTACTGCTGCTATGGCTAACCTGTCAGCTCTTACGTTCGATGCTGAGGGCCGCGAGATTACCTTTGATGTCTGGCTCGATGATCTCCAGCTGTACCTGTAGAGCGAGTCTAAGGATGGTGTTTCCCTATTTTTGCACACTGAGGGAAAGCTCCCAGCCCCTGCTGCCGACGCTGTAGAGGATCTGTCTAAGTGGCTCATGCGTGATGCAGCTGCCCGCCTTGCTGTCCACAACCACCTGCCAGTCACTGAGCGCGGGCACTTCAGCCGGAAGAAAACGACCAAGGATCTCTATGACGCTGTCGTTGCTCGCTATTCCTCTTCAGCTACAACTGCTGTAGGCCGTCTCATGCTACCGTACCTGCATCCCGATCTAGCTGAATTCCGCACTGTCTCTGACATCTTTACCCACCTCCGCTCTAGTGAGGATCGCTTCCGTGCGGCTCTCAAGCTGGCCTTTCTCTTTAAGAACCCCAACCCCCCCCCGCAGTACTTCACCCTGTACTTTCTTATCACTAGTCTCCCTGACTCCTTTCACACTGTCAGGGACCAGTTCTTAGCCATGGACCCCACTGAGCTCACACTTGGCTCACTTGAGCAGTCCCTTCTCGAGGCTGAGAAGAGCACTGTCGCTGTCGCTGCCTCTCATGACACTCCCCGCTCCCCTTCTTTGAAGGGTGTACTCCCTCCCCTCTCCTCCCCTCAGTTGCTACCGCTGCTGCAGTCGACCTCCTTGTAGCTGAGGACGTTGGCGCTGCGTCTGCTCCCAGTGGAAGGTGCAACAACAGCAAGGGCAGAGGAGGCAGGGGTGGTGGTGGTGGCAGCAGCGGAGGGGGTGGAGTGGGTGGTGGCGGGGGTGGTGGAGGCTCTGGGGGTGGCTCTAGGGGTGGCGGCAGTGGAGGAGGCAGACAGGGTGGAGGAGGCAGCGGTGGAGGGGGAGGCAGCTAGGGTGGCGGGGGCGGCGGATGAGGTCGGGGTGGGTCTAGCAGGGGTAGTGGCGCTCGTGGACCCTCCCGTGGCTACGGGAGTGGTCAGCAGCTGCCGCGCTTCCCAGACAACCCCACCGACCAGCAGCTCCGTGAGTGGGTTCTCCAGCGTGGGGGCTGTGGGGGCTCTGGTCGCTGCCCTTATGTCCGGCCCACAGGGCCTCTGAAGGGCACTGTCTGCGGGAAGCCGCACACTGAGTACAAGTGCTTCGGCCGTCTTGAGGATGCCTGGGTGACTGAGTACACCGAGGACCAGCAGGTGCCGAACTGGCTGTAGCTGATTGGAAAGGGGGTAGATGTGGTCGCTCTTGACTTTGCTAAGATCAATGCTGCTCTCTATGCCATGAATGTTGCTGATTATAGTGTTGAGGGTGCGTGTTACTCGAGTGTGCCGTGCGATGCTGGTGGTGATGCCGCTCGTCCAGATGCTAGTGAGTCTGCTGCCGCTCTAGGTGCTAGTGTCGCTACTGCCCCAGGTGCTAGTGAGTCCGCTGCTACTACTGAGGTCTTGCACACTTTCACGCTTGACTCTGGTGCGTCCTGTTGCTTCTTTCGCAACTGCACCACTGTCACCCCACTCACTACACCAGTACCCAATCTCACTGGTGGACCCCTCTGAAGGCCCGGTGGTTGCACGCCACTCCACTGTCCTCCCGTGCCCAGCTGTCCCCTCTAGCTCTCTGTCAGGTCTCCACCTCCCCTCGTTCTCGACGAACCTGGTGAGCAATGCTATCCTTCAGGATGTATGGGTTGACACCTTTACTCCTAGAGGTCAGCGTGTGGCGATCTGCACATGTGCCAAGGCAGGCCGTCACCTGGCTACGTTCACATGGCAGCCGGGGTCGAACCTGTACACACTCACCACAGCGTCTGCACAGGTAGCTGCGTCTAGTCAGGTGGCTGCGTCTGGTCAGCTCGCTGAGTCCTGCTCGTGTTCGCCTCCTCACCCACCCCGTTGGTAGAACGGACCAGGAGCGCTAATTTCTGCTGGTTGTTGACGACTACACACGCGACACAACCGTCTTCCCCTTGCGTCGCAAGGCAGATATCAGTGGTGTCTTGATCCCCTGGATCCATGCTACTCGTCACCAGGTGCGCGAGCGGTTTCGGCGGGACTTTCTAGTCCTGCGTCTGCACTCTGAGAGGGGTGGTGAGTTCTCCTCTTGCGTCCTTGAGACGTTCTGCCAGGATGAGGGCATCGCCCAGTCGTTCGCGCTTCCGGCCTCTCCGCAGCAAAATAGGATCGCTGAGCGTCGCATTGGCCTGATCATGGAGGGTGCTTGTACCTCCATGATCCATGCAGCTGCTCCCCATTTCTTGTGGCCGTTTGCGGTCCGATACGCCGTGCATCAACTCAACCTTTGGCCCCATGTCTCTGCTCGAGAGACCTCGCCCACACTCCGTTGGACGGGACAGCTTGGTGATGCGTCATCGTTTTGGGTCTAAGGGAGCGCTCTCCTCGCACTCTCCATTGTGTCTTCCTGGGCTTCCCCACCGACGCTCCACCCTGGCAGTTCTACCACCCTGCCTCGCGTCATGTTCTGTCCTCTTAAGACGTCACCTTCAACGAGTCGGTCTGTTACTACCGACTTCACCCGCACGCGTCCCACCCGGTCCCTCTCGTACCTCTCTTCCTGGTACCAATCCCCCCCCCCCGGTAGACCCCCTTTCCCCACAGGGTCCTGCTCCCTTAGGTGTGTCCCAGGTAGACCCACCCCCGTTGGATGAGCCAGTTGAGATCTCTTCTGACTCCTCCGACTCAGCTGAGGGGGGTGACGTCGTCGCTGACGACACGGCGACCACTTGCCGCACTCTTTACCTGGAGACCCCCCGGGGTTTCCCGCCATGGCCGTCTTCACCGCCTCCGCAACCTGCTGCTGTGGAATCTAGAGCTGAGACTTCTGGAGCTGGGCTTCGGGATGGTGAATCTGGGGGTGCCCGCTCTCCTCGTCTAACTACCCCCCCCGGTTCCCACCTCTGCCGTCTTCGCCGCCTCTACAGCCTGCTGCTGTGGACACTGGAGCAGAGTCTGAGGGTGCAGGGACTGAGGGTACTGAGCTTGGGGGTGCTGGGATTGAGGGTGTTGAGACTGAGGGTGCTGGGACTGAGGGTACTGAGCCTGAGGGTGCTCGGACTGAGAGTGCTGAGACCGAGGGTCCTGACTCTGGGGGTGCTACGAGTTCGGGTGCTGACTCTGGGGGTGCTGCGAGTCCTTCTGGTGTTGGTGTCATCGGAGCTCCTACCGGAGGACCTAGAGATACTGGTGCTGGAGGTAGTGGAGGTGCTGCTGGTACAAGAAGTGCTAGAGGTACTGGAGCTGGAGGTGCTGGAGGCGCTGGAGGTACTGGAGCTGTTGCTCCTACTGCTGGTGCTAGAGGTGCTAGATGTACTGGAGCTGCTCGTGCTGGAGGTGCTGGAGGTCCTGGAGGTGCTACTAGTGCTAGAGGACGTGGAGCTGCTGGTGCTAGAGGTGTTGGAGCTGCTGGGGATGGAGGTGCTTGAGGTGCTGGAGGTCCTGGTAAAGCTACTGGTGCTCTTTGCCACCTTCTCAGTCTTCAACCAAGTGCTACTGGCTTCCCTGTGGCAGGTACTACTCTTTTTTTGCTGTGTCCACCGGCGGACCAGTCACAGCTGCCGCTGCTACCGCACTCCCCACTGCCTGCTCCTGCTCCTTACACTGCGATGACACAGTCCCTGACTAAGCGTCGAGAGCCTGAGACTCGTGCTTCCACCCCTGAGCGTCGAGAGCCTGAGTCTAGAGCTGTTGTTCATGCTCGTGTTCCTCGTGTTCGTCGTCCGCGTGCTCCGGCTGTCCCCGGCACTCACGATATGACACTCCGTCCTTCCTCTGTTACTCAGCGTGTTGTCCTACCGTTACCTCCTGCGTCCTCTCTGTCTGACGTTGCTGACCCTCCGTCTGACCTTGCTCGTGCGTCCAGTCCGACTGTTACTCGCCTTCTTGCTACGCTTGTGACGGACCCTACATTCTCGTCTCCTGCTGCGTCTGCCTTAGTAGCTGAGCTCGTTGACTTTGGTGCTGTGTACCGCCTAGACTACCTTGCGAGTCTTGTCTCTGACCCTGTCCCTCCCTGTCCTCCGTCCGTCGGGGGTGAGACTGCCCTTGGCTTTATTGTTTTTGGCTGTGACACTCTTGAAGACAGACAGGAGGAGCTGGTGTGCCTTGCGGCCGCTGCACCCCATCACGCGACCATGCTGCTTGCCCCTGAGGTAGATGTGAAAGTTAGAAGAGAGAAGAGGGATGCACTAGCAAGAATGGGGATACAAATAGCAAACCCTAGAAGGGTTGTACTCGCTATAGAGCACCCCACTACAGGCTAGAGCATAAGATAACATTCTAACACACCCCCATAGCCAAAGTGGGGTGTAATCAGCAGAGCAAGAAAAGCAGTACAAGCTCAGGGTGGATCAAAATGTCACCACACATTCTGAGCACAAGTTCAAGAAGCAATAGTTTAAGGTTCACAATTATGAGCAAAGCTAGAGCTAATCACAGCGGACAAGTGAGGAGGAGGAGGAGCTGTGGGGGAGTGAAGATGGGAGGCGACTGCTGACGCCGCAGACAAACAGACAAGGTGCTGGCTCAGTGGCTACCGGAACAGCGCTCCGGGCTACTGGAGTAACTGGCCCCGCGGCTATTAGTAGCGGCAGACGAGCAACGGACCCACGGGCGACTGGCGACTACCGGAGATTGTAGCCTCCGGACTGCTGCTGCTGCTGACGACAAGACTGCTGCCTCCACTCAACCTCCCCCAACTGTCCCACACTCTCGGCACACGCCCACTGCTCAAACCCTAGCTCCACTCCCACGCACCCCCCTTAAACCCCAAACCCCAGTCTCCCACTCATCCACCCCCCTCAACGACAGCTGCAGCAGTGGGAGACGAAGGAGGAGGAGGAGCAAAGGGAGGAATGCACAACTGCCACCCCCATACTCGCCACCCCCATACCCTGAGTGTGCGGTAAGCGAGCTCATGTGTGTGCGAAGCGTGCACAAGTGTGCAGGAAGCGAACTCGAGTGTGCGGTAAGCAAACGCAGGTGTGCGGAGAGGGGGGGCCGCAGGGCGACACGCGGGTCGACGGGGATGGGCGCACGGGTCGCCGGGGGCGGCGCGCGGGTCGACGGGGCCGCCGTCCAGGCCTGGCGCAGCCCGTACGGGCCGCGTGCTAGCCTGGCGCAGCCCGTACGGGCTGCGTGCTGGCCTGGCGCAGCCCGTACGGGCCGCGTCCAGGCCTGGCGCAGCCCTGACGGGCTGCGCGCTGCCTGTACGGGCCGCGCGCAGGCCACGACGGGCGACGGGGGGCGACGCGCGGGTCCCCGTCGCCCGTCGCAGCGCCTCCCGAGGGCGACGCGTCGATTGACGGGGCAGCAGCCCGCCGCGCGCCTCGGGGCGCACAGCGGGCAGGGAACCGCCGCGCGCCTCGGGGCGCACAGCGGGCAGAAAACCGCCGGGCGCCTCGGGGCGCACGGCGGGATGAAAAACTGCCGCACGCCACGGGGCGTGCGGCACAGAGAGTAGTAGTGGCAGTTGCAGCGGAAGCAACGAGGTGGTGAGCCCACCCACAGGATCGATCCAAGGGGATCGACCTGCTCTGATAGCATGTGAAAGTTAGAAGAGAAAAGAGGGATGCACTAGCAAGAATGGGGATACAAATAGCAAACCCTAGAAGGGTTGTACTCGCTATAGAGCACCCCACAACAGGCTAGAGCATAAGATCACATTCTGACAGGAGACCCGGATGCACTTGACATCCCCACCCTCGCGCTCCTACAGTGAGGCAATTTCGGGTGAGTACTCCTCTCAGTAGCAGACAGCCATGGACGCAGAGATGGCTTCCTGGAAGTCCACAGGCACCTACGTCGACGAGGTTCCCCCACCTGGGGCGAACATCGTCAATGGCATGTGGATTTTCAGGGTGAAGCGGCCGCCGGGTTCTCTGCCTGTCTTCAAGGCACGTTACGTTGCTCGAGGCTTCAGTCAGCGTGAAGGGGTCGACTTCTTTCAGACCTTCTCCCCCACCCCGAAGATGACCACTCTTTGGGTGTTGCTACACGTTGCAGCTCAGCGTGACTACGAGCTGCACTCCCTCGACTTCTCGACAGCTTTCTTGCAGGGTAGCCTTCACGAGGCCATCTGGTTGCGCTGTC